ATCAGACAAAACTTGGAACCTTCTGGGCTCCCTCTGCAATGAAAAGAAGCTGGGGAGAGGGCAGGCATTTCTCCTTTTTTACCCTAGTCCACCCTTCTTGGAAATTCCTTTTGGGAAGCTGTTAACTGAGCTGGAGTCCTCGTTGGCAACCCAAGGATGGCCAAGAGATGTTTGCTGTTCCACAGATGATGGGRACAAAGGAGGCACTTTTCTCCCTTTCTGAGACCACCCAACCCTGGGTCTCCTTCTTTTGGGCCGTGCTGCATCCAGCATCCCAACAAGCAGACCCACTGAGCTTCACTTGCTGAACATCATTTATGCTTTTTTTCRATTCCTCCCTCACAGTGACATCTCTCTACTCCACATGTTCCTCCCTGCAGCCTCTTGAGCCATGTGAGGCTGCGCACACTGGAGCTTCTCTCCAATCACTGGGGACATTGAATTTGAAAAGACATTACAGGAATATCAAGTCTGTCCAGCTCATTAAAAAATGCATAGTTTGTCCTCCATATAAACAGGGGTGAAAACACTGCACTGTTTTCACTGACAGTACCTTTTACCACGGTCACAAATTCCTCTGGCACAGTGCACTAACTTACCATGGAATAACTTCAATTTTGCTTTGCTCAGCAACCTCCAGGTCCTTAGGATGCAACTGCCAGCACCTCTYCTGAACACCTAAGTCCAGTAAGTGCTCCAAGGCATTGGTAGATCTGGGCAGGGGTTGATATAAGTGTCCCTCTTTCTCTCTGAACATGCAAAATATGTGCCCTGCTGATGCCWAAGGGCAACCAGCTTTTTCCTTGCCCATATAACAATCCTGCAGCAGAAAMCTTCCAGACTGGGAGCACTGCCTCAAAATGTTCTCTCTACCCAGGGGTGCCAGGAGTCCTAAAGAGACCTGCCCAGCTTCTGCTCTTGTTTGTTCCTTGTTGACCAGGGTGYCCAGGTGAATTATTCCTCTCACTCTAAGTTCTTTGACTTCAATTTTTTCGCAGGGACCTTCCATATATCACATCCCTCTTTGTCAGTGAATCTTTCCTGTTCTAACAGTTTAGTGTGCCCCAGGATCRATATATCTTAGCATGCAAGGACACGGTGTTATTGCCAAGTTCCTGGGTTGTACAAAGTGAAAGGTATCACTTTCTTAAAGCCACTGAGAGATGCTCTGGGACAAGTACTGCTATTCCTCTGCCATCAAACAGCTGTGTGTAGGGCTCTGGATAATCCCTCTCCAGTCTCACACAGATGGCTTCTTCCAGTCCTCAGTGACCCATAGCGTATCCTTCCCTTCCTTTTGCCTCATTTCGGACATCTCAACRTGCAGTGGTCAGATCTGTGGGGCATGTCAGCAAAGCAGTCTGGTTTGTCCTGGCTGTCCTCACTCTTGACATGAGAGAATTTAGGGGGACATATGAGAACACAAACCTTTGTAGTGCTGTGGGCACAGCACCTGAACCATGAGCGGGCAAATCCCTGCTCTGCCTGCCTCGTCATTCATGCTGCAATTGTGAAWTAAACCAAATGAGCATTGCAGGGTGTATTGGTTGGGCTGGGATTTGATGACCTCTCCTCTCTTTGGATTATAGGTGGAGAGCAAGGGAAAAGTCATGTAAATGTCCCCTTTCCTGAAGCATCTGCTTGGCTCATCTCCCTAGCAGCATCACTAACATCCACCCYGGCCCAAGACCACTGCATTTCTGCAGTTATTTACATTCCTCTGCCTTTGCTGAAGCTGACATCCCTGCCTGCAATGTCCAGGCTGGCCCAAGCTTTCCTGTTCTTCCCCGTTTCCCTGGAAAGCTTTCCGGCCCAACGCCACGTGTTGGTGGCCACCCACGAGCCGCTTTGATCAGCTCAGATGGGCAGTGCCGCCAGGCGGCTTTGCAGGCTGCCCCAACGCTTCCGAGCTGCTGCAGCAGCAGAGGTTTTCCCTCCGAGTCCCTGACATCCCCTGGTCGTTTCAGGGCACCTTTCAGATGCTGCTTTTATTTCAGCTCCCACTTTAGCTTCATTTAGCTTCAGCTCACTTTGATTGACTCTGCTTTTCGAACACCGTGCTTGCTCCTTGCAAATTTAATGGGAACTCACAGCGTGATTTCTGTCCTGAAYGGCACCAATGACCACAGAGTCGGGCACACCACAGCCCTGTCAGACAAATGCAAGAGGCAATGGTTTATTTTTATTGTATTTTCAATGTTTCAAGTGATGCCCTGCTGCAGCCCCATCCACTTTCAAACCAAAATGCTTCCTGGGATGCTGCATTTTTGCAAAACCCTCGGTGGATAGTGCTGTGCTCTTAGAGGCCTTTCTATCCCTCTTTCTGCCTCCCCGTCTTCAGTTTTGCTGCGTCCTTGGCTTCACTGGTCCTCCCTCCTGCTCTCCTTCGCGGGCCCTCCTAGCAGGCAATGCCAAGGGCTAGAGTTTGGGGTGGAGGCAGCTATTGTTCCAGCTATCTGCAGTGTAATGTTCCTTATGACTGTATTAAATGAAGGGCGGAGGTCACACATCCCTAGTTTAAATTAGGTTTCGGCTGACCTTTAACAATATTACACTCGTGGATCCTCTCATAACTCACCGAATAAACTCCCAAAGGGTTTTACCACCTCCCTGTTTTCTTCCTACTGTAAGGATGCCCGAGGCTTAATGTGCTTCTCTCCAATTTCGCTTTGATTTCTAATCCTATCCCCTTCCTCCCCCCAATACAGATATATTCACTCCTTTAAAGGTGGGGGGAAAGAACCTGTTCCTTTTCTCTTCTGGGCGACAGCTCTTTCTTTTGTGTCTTTCTTCCCTTCTCCGCCCCCCTCCTCTTTCTTGACACAATGCACTATTTATTTGCACTGAAGGATAACTAAGAAGCAATTAAAAGATCAAAAGGCACAAACACAAGTAGATCCAGTGGCAACTTGTGGGGTTTATTTTGCTGTGGCTGCTGCTGCTGCTGCTGCTGCTGCTGAATCTTCAGCAAACTGCTGCCGTGTTTTTCCCCCAGCCAAAGGACACCTCTCTTAGTGGGTCGCCTCTTCCTCCAAACCGACTTTTTTATGATCGCTATTTTTCACCCCCATTGTTTGCTATTGCAGTTGTTTACTGGAAAATCACTTGTTTTTCTCAGGGAGATTAACCCTCCAAGCTCTCTTTTGTCTACTCTCAGGAGGTCCTTGTCGTGAGCTGGGGGAAGGGAGCTGGGCTCCTTCAGCTATTAACAGTAGCTTACAGCCCTGCTGACCCCCCTGCCAAGGTTGRGTCCTTTCCTTTGATGGGGTTCTGCTTTCGCAGCGAGGAGAGGTGGTTTGCTCTTTGTTAAGACCACCACTGCAGAGCGGTTTGCAAGGACCCACAACTGGGATTTACTAAGTCGTGGGCATCTAGGAGAAACTCCAAAAGCCCAAGGTAAGGAGAAATCTGGAGCCCTKACACATTACAGCAGATGCTCAGTCTCTTTGACAGCCAGGTCACTTCTTTATATGTTCAAGTATCAGTGTAGGAGCTGAGAACTGATGCGTGTAGCTGAGTCTGGTGTGCACGGCACTGCTTCCTCAGCAACAYCACCCTGTCCCAGATGTGCCGATGTTTCGGTGGCAGCCCACAGCCCTGACACCGGGACTGCTGGGTGTGATGTGCAGAGAACATCCCAGAGGACAGCTCAGTGAGCAGAAGGATGCTAGGGAGGAAAGGATGCCCAGAGCCTAGTGAGAAAAGATAATCCTGCCCCCAGTTTGTTGGGCACGTTTAGGGCAATTCTGACTGCTGAGAGATGCACCAAGCCTCCCATCCTTGGCGGGGAGCGGGGTTGGGGGGAAGTACAAACTTGAAAAAAGAGAAAAAAATAAGGCTTTTTTTWATGGCGCGCTGGGGTGAGGAATGCCGTATCCTTGCCTTTTCGTACATCTAGCTATGGCGAGCGCCACCTGAGGTGGGCAAGCCTGCCGCTCAGGTCTCAGGTAGCCCTGCTCCTCTCTGCCCCAAGAAGGGTGCGCGCCTGTGGCGCAGGCTAGAACGCTTGYCCCTGCAGAGGGGCACCCTCCGGGGCAGCGGTGAGGGTGCGGACATCSGGCGCTGCCCGGGGCTGCCTTTGGAAGCCAGCGGGGCTCCTTCCCCGGGACAGACTCGGAGGGCAGCTCTCCGGCAGCGGCGAGCGCCGGCCGATGCAGCGCGGTGTGCCTGCCATGCAGCAGCGGGAGCGGCGGGAGCGCCTTCTGCCCGCGCCGCTGCACTCACGGCAAAGCCTGGGAAAAGTCCCTTTGGCTCAGCGGCGGCACAGCTCGCCTGCAGGAGCCGGCGGGAAGCAGAGGCGACCCGGTGAGCGGGCACCGCTGCGGGAAGGTGCTCCGCGAGGTGCAGGATCCGGGTGCGGAGGGGCAGCGTCCATGTTGTGCACACGGACACGCAGGGTGGCCGCGGGGGCTCGCTGCCGCCCGGGCGGGGGATCGCTGCCCCAGGGATCGCGGCACCAGGGCCGGGGCGGCCGGCCGGCAATGCCCGTGCCTTTGCCGGGGAGCTCTTCCGAGCGGCTGGGCGGCCGGCGCGGACACCTGTRCCCGTGTGCACCTAGAGAGGGACCCGAGAGAGGACGGGGTGAGCGATGTCCCCTCTCGCACCCTGCCAGGACTTGGAGCTCGCCACCACGCAGCGAGAGGCGCTCTGGGGGTRCCCCCAGCACTTTGGGCAGGGGCTCGGGGTGCGGATCCACAGCTCTTCYCCTCACCTGCGGGGCGGCGGGGGATGCGCGTAGTCCCCCTCCCACCCGGGGCCATCACAGGAGGTAAAGCCCTCACCCGGGGTAGCAGCACGCAAAGAAAATGTGCGGCAGAAACTTTCTGTCCCCTCTTCCCTCCCGAGCTGGACTCCGGAGGGTTACGAGGGAGAAGGAGGGAAGAAAGGAAGGGAGGGAGGGAAGAGAGGGGGTTAGACCGCTCTGCAACATTATTGGCTGCGTGGCCGGGCTGGTGCTCGCCGGGAGAGCATGCCCATTGGGGAGGTATAAAAGGTATAAAAGCCGGAGCGCCCGGCTTGTCTCCGCGCTCGTGGGGCAGCCAGCCGGGAGCAGCGGGGAGTGAGGCAGGGAGCCCCTTCGCCCCGACCAAGGGGACGCACTCAGTAAGCACAAAAGAGAGAGCCACCCAAGGGGCAGCCAAAGCAGGAGGAGAGAAAGAGAAGGGAAGAAAAAAAAAAAGGGTGAAAAACAACCCAGAAAAAAAAAGGAAAAAGAAAAAAGGAAGGAAAGGAAAGCGCTCGCTCGCTCTTTCTCTAGAATAACAAAATACCTAATCGTAACAAAATAACATCCTTCAGACAAAATCCAGCAGGGACTTGGTATACCAAAAAGGCAAGGCGAGGAGAACGTGCCAGGGCGCGGGGAAGGCAAGCCAAAGCCGCGATCGCTGCCAGGGCAGGAGAGCAGCATGTCAAGCGCCGGGGCACACACGGATGAGCGCTGCMGGCAGCCCGCCTTCCTCCCCGGCCCGCCGCCGCCGCAAGAAGTTGAGAGTAGCAGCGGCAGTGCCAAGGTAAGCGCCGCTCCGCGCTGCCGCTCCGCGGGCAGAGCGCGGTGGGATCTCCCGCGCCGTGCCGTGCAGAACCGTGCCGGGCAGAACCGTGCCGGGCAGAGCCGTGCCGTGCCACGCCGAGCCGTGCCGCCCCGGGCACCGCTGAGCCATCCCGAGCCGCGCCGGGCAGAGCCGCGCCGGCCCCGCTGCCCGCCGTCCCCACGCGTGTCACTAGAGGGACCCCTAGCGCCGACCCAGCCGCTGCCGGCGGGGCGGCCCCGCTGCGGTGGGGTGCGCGGGTATCCCCGGGGTCCCTCCCGCCGCCCGCGCCCGGCGGAGGGGATGCTGCCGGCGGGGATGCTGCCGGCGGGGCCGGCCGGGCGGCGGCGCGGAGCCGGCGCGGTCCCGCGTGGGGAGCGGTGGAGGGGCGGCAGCGTGTGCGGGTGGCCGCGGCCGTGCGGGGGCCGGGCCGGGGCTATGCGAGGTCACGCAGGGCTGCGCGGCCCCCGGCTGCCCGCGGCGTTCCCTTCTCTCGGGGCGGCTGCGGGAGCGCGGGGACGCGCGGGGAGGGGACCGGCGGTGCTCCCGCTCCGGAGAGCGGGGGGATTATTAAACTCTCTTCTGCAAAACACTGCGGTGTGTTCAGTCTCGGGAGGGATAAAAACAGAGAGGAAAAACAAGAAAGCGAAGCCAAAATGGAGTGAGAGTTAATGGTTGGCCTTCGCCTTTCTGTGATTTTTAAATTTTTTTTCTTCTTGTTCCTTCCCAATTGCTTTTCCCTACAGTAATTGTTTTAAAAGCACAACTTGGAAAGGTTTTGGCACTCTGTTGAGCAGTGGGGAATTGGGGCACATGAGGGAACTCGGATTTAGCGTAACTGTACCAGCAGATGTGGCTGCCTCGCCTCCAGCCAGCGGTACTTCAGCAGGCTTGCTGATACGCCAGGTCTCGCTAGGGTGGTGTGGAGCAATCAAGTGTGAAAACAAGGTTTGTGTGGGTGGTTTTAAACAGACACCTCGGGAGAGCCGCTGCTTTTAACCCAAGCTTCCTATGCAAAGTCTGTAGTTTTCTTCCAAATGCTGGGATGTGCTTGGGAGACCGAGGCCTGTTTTTCTTTGGGTTTGTTTATTGTCAGGTTGTGTGTGTATGTGGGTGGTTTTGTTTTTTTTTTTCCTTTTACTTTGCAGGGTTCAGCGTGTTGGGTTTTTTATTCCTCCACTTGCCTTGATTTAGAGAGGAGTTGAAGAGCCTGGGTCATGGGGTTTTGTTAAGGATGACTTTGTGCTAAGGACATCTGGAGGTATAAAACTGACTGACASTTTTGATTTGAGTTCCACTGTGCTGTTTTGGACCCAACTTGACAATTTTGGTGGGGGTGAATGGGTCAGAGCTGTAAATCTTGCTCCGTGTTGTTGACACCCACACAAGTTCACTCAGCCTTTCAAAGGGGCTATCCCAGCTCCTGTGAAAATTCATTAAGGGATAAAAGATTTGACACCGCGGGTCCCCTCCCACCGCTGCATGAAATTTGAGAGCCAAAATGTGTCTGCGTGTGTGTCCCAGTGCTCTTTCTGACAGGTGATCTTTTTTTCAGCCTGGCTGGAGGGCTGCTGCTTTGACCAGTCAAGCCGGAGTTGTCAGTGCGTGTCTTCCCCTTGGTTCCTATAGGTTTCAGCACGAGCCCAGCTTGCCTCATGGAGCACCAGAGAAAAGCATTTCTGTACTTTTCTTTTTTTAAATAAAGCAAACACAGCAGGTGAGGTCTTATTTTTAGAGGGACCGAGGAGTTGGTGTGTTTCCAGCAGTGCGTACGAGCACTGTAAGTGGCCCACCCTCTCCCAGCGTGTCCTGGGGCTGACCTCTCCGATCCTTCTTTGGATTGTCTTTGCTTTTAAAAGCTCATGAGTGTCTTAGCGGGGCAAAGCAATATTGGCCTCCCTCAGCACGGTGGTGTGAGGGGTCAGGAGAGTTGGGGGAGCACCAGGGGAGGAAGTCTGCCTTGGTATTACAGCCTGGCTCTGAAGGGGTTAAAGTCGCTCTGCCAAGACATAAAGCAAGTTCAACRTGTTGTGGGAATATCACTTGCCAGTAGACTCCAGTCACCACAGTTCCTGATTTAACAGCTTAACTTGCTGTTAACTTTCCCTGATATACTCCAGGTTTTGGGAGGGAATGCAGAAAGGAGAGAGGAACAATAAAGAAAGGAGTTAAGTGAGGCTACTAAAATGGACTTAAATCCCATCGCTGGGTCCTGCCAGCTGTCTTTAGAAGAGTTAAGCAAGATTGCATTTCCTTTTTTTTTTTTAATACAATAAATCAAATGTTTCTGGGCTGCATACCAAAATTTATGCAATACACTCTTATTCCCCAGTGGGGAGAGTAAATGGTACTGAATACCCCATTCACCTTTTTCAGCTTGATTTTTCCACAGGCACAGTAGTTCTCTTGCACCACATATAGATGTGGGGTGCAGGCAGCGCTTCCCTCCCTGCCCTGTCCCACAGGCAGAGGAGGCAGGTGCCTCTCTGAGCTCACAGGATGGGAAGCAGAAAGGTGACCTGCGGAGTGGGCTGCTGATGGGGACGAGCAGTGAAGACAMAAAAAGTGAGGGCTAAAAATAGTAGCAGTATTGCCAGCCTCAGCCATATGAATGTCATGCGAGCCAGGTGCCAAGAATCAGGAGGTGTTTTATTTTTTTTTCAAGCCTGAGCTAAACAGCAAAACCCCTGGTCTTCCTGAGTTGGTTTTATTTGCCTGAGACCTCAATGGTCAAAAAGTTTTGTGTTTTGAAGCTTGCTTCTTCCAATCTGTGGGTGGCTGGAAATGTCCTTTCTCCATCAGATGAAGAGAGGCACGGCATGAGGCTCCTATGCCTTCAGGTGCTGCTGGGCACCTCATCCCTGTGCCTCTGCCCAAGATGCAGCTCCTGGGTGGCTTTCAGCTGCCAAGGCACCTGCCTCTCACACTGGCTGCCATCATCCCTTTGCTCCTTGGCCCCTCGGGGTGTCATGGCCCGGTGCCCTGCACCCTCGGGGTGTCATGGCCCGGAGGTTGGGTTGCCCCGTGGGCGGGGGTGGCATTCACTTGGCACTTGTGAGGTTGGCACACACCCACATCCTGCTCCTTTGGGATTGCCACACTCAAAACTGGGTCAGCTCCCCATTCTCCTGGGGCTGTCCAAAGAGAGGAGTAATGCAGAGAGGCAGATGTTCAGCATCTCTCACAGCCAGTCTTCAGAGTAGCACAACATCAGTCTGCCCATTTATTTTTTGAAGGGGTGGAGTGTGAGGTATGTTGGGCTGTGCAAACTGGGGTTTTCCCCTCTGGCAAGTGCTGCTGGGTTTGGTCTGATTACTTTTCTTTCGCTGTGCTCCCTTTTGAACGCTGCACTGCTCCACAAAGAAGCAAGTTGGTTTTTGTTATTTTTCTTTTTGCTGTCCAAATCCAAATTTTACAGACTGGGCCATCTGTCAATTCCCTCCTACATTGTTCTGCTCATATTAAATTGCAATGAAGGCCAGACTGAAGAAGAAATTAGGTCAGACAGGAGGTTTTGTCTCTGTTTTTGGGGAGATGTTTGTTGCCCAAGAGGCATCGTGGTTTGGTTTGCTCAGCACAAGCCTGGATCCAAGGGATGCCTGAGCTGTACTCTGAGATTTGGCAACTGGGCCTTTTAGTGCATTGTGGCCTCTTGGCCCCCGACTCCCCAGCAGCTGGACAGAAAGTGTCGATCCAGCTGATTCAGCAGCAGATCCTGAAAAAATCCTCTAATGGTCTCGGGTGGGAGGGTGACTCTGCTGCAGACCTTCCTTGGGCTTGCTCCCAGCACACCACAGCCACACCACAACAGAGAKGACCCTCTCTGCTGGACCCGTCTGCTGGTTGGGGGCTGGCAAGAGGTGTTTGAGGGTCCCAGGCCATGCGTGCAGCAGCGTRTGCTGCAATACACAGGAGTTTCAAGGCAGCAGCAGCAGCATCCTGCATATGGCAGCTTTGGGCTGAGCTGGTTCCAGTGGAGCCTGRCTTGCTGTGGGGTGCTGGAGATGCAGGGGAAGGCAGGAGAGGGGCGTGAAGGATGGAGGGCAAAGCAGGCCCTCTCCAGGGAAGGAGAGGCCAGCAGTGTGTGCTGATACCTTGTCTGAGCTTGTTCTGTACTCATAATGCTGCTCCAGATGTGGGTTATTGAGAGGAGCTTCAGGTGTGATTCCCAGGATGGTACAGCTCACCTGTATGACCAAGAAATCCCTCTTGCATCACCCTCCTGCACACTGTGTGCGCTCCAAGCCCTCCTCAGGAGGAATCTGGTGCTCAGGYTATTGAGCATCTGTCATGTTCCACGCCGCCCTTCCCACTGCATCCTAAAGCTTTTAAACTCTCCCTGGGCACGTGAGGAAGAACGGCAGCCAGCATGGCTGGTTGAACCTGCTTTGGCAAGGATGGAACAGTGGTAGCTGTAGTCTCTCTCCTAGCAGARACAGGAGTACCTTGTGCTTTAGGGAAGTGGCCCACTTGCCTCTTGCTGCCTTAYTCCTGTTCCATTTCAAGTAAGAGAAACTTTCTAATAAAACACGAAGGTTTTTCCAACCATTGGTGTGAATTTGCTCCTGTTCCACAGCTGAGGAGACAATCCCTGTCCTCATGCTTGGACTGGAAACCAAAAGCTGTGCTGTTCCACGCTTCCAGTGGAAAACAAAGTCGTGGAGGCATTCATGGGGTTTCAACTCACCATGCTGAGCAGCATTTGGCCATGATAACTGAAGCCACATGCAACCTGTGCGGCTGGCATGGTGCTTGCAGCAGGTCATGGGCTGCAGGTACCCAGCTATGCCACGACACCCTGTTTTGGGGAGCAGCACCTGCTCTGGCAGCCATGGCAAGGTGGGTGCAAGCTCTCCTGCATGGGTGCTGCTCATCCCTGCCTGCAGAAGCATGTGAGGGAGGGAAGGATCAATTGAAAGGTTATCAGGACATGTTGAGCCACTGATGGCACCCTGGGAGCCTCTGGAGCCTTTGTGTGAACTCTGGGGGCATTTCCTCAGCGGAGTCAGTAGGGCCGAGGGAGAGGGTAGGGCTCGTGGTGTAGGGTTGTGTTGCAGCTCCATCAAACTGCAGCACTGGGTAGTAAATAAAGATGCTCTTTGCTTTGCTGCCTGGTTTCTCATTACACAGCTGCTGGAAGGAGCAGGGAGACGCCAAGGTGACAGCAGAGGATGGGCTGGTGGCTGCTGCGTGGGCAAAGGTGGGCTCAGTCGCATTTCACAGCTCCACAAGGGTAGCTGTGCTCTGGATGACAGCACCGGGGCTCTCCCTGTTCTGCCGCTCCAGGGGCGTTTCCTGGCCGGAGTTATGGGTGTGTGGGCACCCRGAAAGGGCTTGTGGTGGAGGCAGGGAAGGCTGCCAGGGGCTGCCTTGTGCTTGCAGCCGGGTTGTGCAGGAGCGGGTATTTTCCGAGGAGCACAAGTGTTTTTCCACAGAAGGTATCAGGTCTCCCCAGCTTCAAATATCGCCCGCTGACAAAATCTGGCTCTCCCCTTGCTTGGGAGCATCTCACCCCTTTCTTTAGACTGAATGTGGAGGAAAAATGGTGTTTGTCACCTGTRCCACCAAGCAGCCCCTTCTTGTGGGGGCTGGCTCTGGCTTGTGGGGGGCCAGCACGCAGCTTGCTCATTAGTGCCGATAGCCAGCATACACCTTTCTGGGGACAGGAGATTATGTGGGTGTCCTGAAGTCCCATATCAGTGCCTTCGATGGCAGCACTGGCTGGTGAAAAATCCATCATTCCAGCAATGAGTGCTGGCACTAACCTGAGACCTGGGGACACCAGCAATCAGGACCTGCATGTAAAAAWAAAAGGGCTGAGAAAGGGATGGGAGCAGGGTGGTTGGTCGGCTGTCAGTGGAGATCTGATGCTGCAGCACCAGGGGCAGGATCCCAGCAGAGAAGGTGATGCTGTACTCATGTTGGAGAGGCCCAATAAACACCCGTTGGCTACTTGATTAAAAAAATCAAGGTGATAAGTGTTGGTGGCAAAACTCTTCAGCTTGGCAGGATGGGGCCACAGCCTGGTGCCATCCCACTGTAAAACAGAACAAAGYCCCTGCACTGTGCTGAAGGGACCACGGCTACTGGAAAAGCTGGTTCTGGTCCCATCACCTGCYAATTTGAGACCAGTTTGTTCCCAGGGCTGCTGTCTGTCTTGTCCTGAGCTCTTTTGCCAGCCTTGCTGATCTCTGCCAGCCTGGGCTGAGCAATATTATGGGCACCAAAACTCAAGCAGGAGGAATGCCCTCCACAGACCACCCAGACCTTGAAACCTCTGTTTTGGCTTTTCCTGCTGCTGATCCCTGTCCTCCTGCTGTTCAGTAGAGCTCATSACTTKTAAGCATGATGCATTTCTATCAGTGACAATTGGAGCTATGTGCTACTAAAAATTCGGGAKCAAGGGTGTCTTTATTGCTAGCAGGACCGTAGTGGGGCCTCGTGGGAGCTGGGCTAATTTCCTGGCTGCGCTGCAGACTTCCCCTGTGACCTTGGGCGAGTCATTTAATCTATCCTGGGCTTCGGCTCCATCTCCGAGCATCCCGGGGGGGTGAGGTAATATTCATTAACTGATATTATTCTCGAGTTGCTCAGATGCTACGGTGATGAAAGCTGGATGTGAAACCTGCGGCTTGGTTGAATATTAGCAAGCAGAGGAGATGCTCTGCTTGAGATTTGGTTTTTTTGAGATTTGCTATTCTGACATGCTTCTCTTCCTTTTGAGCTTACCTTTCTGGTCAAACCCAGCGTTATTTGGTTGTATGTGTACTGTGCAGCTCGTCACTGAGGGTCTATAATGCCTTGAACCATCCATGGGTTTTGCCCCAGCTGTTTGCTGGAGCCAAGTCAGGGAAAGTCTTTGGGCTAGTTAGGAAATACCCAKGGAGTTTCTTTTTTAATGCTCTTCACCATTTGACACCGCCTTGGCCTTCCCTAGTGATGYCTCAGGTGTGTTTCCCATGGGACCATATTGTTCCTGAGGGATATCTTCTCAGTCCCAACTCTTGTCARCAAACATAGCTTGTGCAATCAGCCTCTTGATTGCTTGAGTCTCATCTCTCTCACRTGCCCGGGACAAAAGCTGTTCTTCCCAACTTTCCTCAAAAGCAGCTCTAGGACAGGTTGAAGCTTTATTTGTTGGATATGTTTTCAGACAGGGAATGAAAAGCTGTCATCAGAAGAGGAAAATGAAATTACCTTCTGATAATAATATGAATTAATTCCCTTTTGAAAGGCAGGGGGGGKAATAAAAAAATCACACCATCAAAAGAGCAGGGGGAATAAAAGCCCGTTAGAGGTAGGCTGAAGTGGGATTTTCCAATGGAAAAACTGCTTCAATGCAAACCTTGTCCACCCGGAGCTGCTGCACAGGGAGCTGGCCTCACCCCAGCAGCACCTCCACACGTCTGGGCATCACTCRCTGCGCGCCGTGGGTGGGGGCACGGCCCGGGGAGGGGGCACGGAGGGTCTGTCCCGCGGTGCTAAACGCTGTGCCTCTGTCCCCAGGTGCAGAGGATGTGCGCGGCCAGGCAGATGCTGCTGCTGCTCCTGGCGTTCCTGGCCTAYGCCCTGGATTCGGCCGCCGCCTACGGCACGGCGGAGACCCTCTGCGGYGGAGAGCTGGTGGACACGCTGCAGTTCGTCTGCGGGGACAGGGGCTTCTACTTCAGTAAGTGCCRGGCAGCTGCCAGCAGCGGGCAGGGGCTGGGAGGGAAAGGAGGGGTTTCCCATGTGCTTCCCATGAGTTCATTGTATGGGCCAGCGGGCCGGGAGAGGAGCAAAGCAAYGGACATATCCAGGGTGGCATGACTCCACCTGGCACTGGGTCTGGGGTCTGTTGGGTACCATAGGCAAGCTGGGTCCCATGTGTGATGCTCGGGAAGGTCGAATGTGTCTGTGGAACCATATGAGGCTGGTTCACCAGTGATTAGGGCAAGTCATTACCATAACTAGGATGTCTGTAGCCAGCACTCTGCTGAGCTTGGGTCCTGGTTTGTTTTGAAACTTCACTGCTTAAGCRTTGCGCTCTGACAGCAGGCAGGAAGCTGAGTGCTTTCCCTTCCCAGGCAGGCTTTGCTTGGGTATAGCAGCACCTTCTAGGCTGCTCCCAAAACTTTGGGATGTAGCTTTGTGACCTCCCAGCTACCTGCTGATGAACTTGTTGCTGAAGAGTGATGTTTTACCCTTTTCCAGTGCAGCTAATGCAAGAAAATAGACATTCCTGTTGTGTGCAGTGTGYAGATGGTTTCAGACCAGCTGGCTGCAGTGAGCTTTCCACCGGGTTGCTTTGGGTGCTTGGACCACTGGCAGTACAGTGGATTAGCTGGGAAAGAGGGAGGATGAGGAGTGAACTGGTGGCAACAGATGCTYTGTAATTTGTGGGCAAAGGTGCCTCACTTCATTTTGGTGTTTGGGGGCCCTGCTTTGCTTGGGAGCCTTGCTCCGCACTGAGGACTGAATCACAGAGTGACTGACTACAGGAAAGATGCAAAGCTGTTTGGGGGAGAAGAGGATGGAGATACCAGCTGCACAGAGTCCCATGCATTTGGCAGTCTTGCCTCTGCCCTGGGAAAGGGAATTTAAGYCACTTTCAAGTAAACAGGGTGGGGTTTTTTTGAGTAGTGGATTTGAGAGCCAGCCTCCCTCTTGTTCCAGGTTGCCTATTCAGGCAACAAGGGGCAAAGTTAGGAAACGACTTTGGATGTCCTTTTCCAACCTGGCTGTCCCTTTCCAACCTGGATGCTTTGCCAGACTTGTCTGGTGCTGCCTGCTGAGGCTGGGCAGAGAGGCACAGGGATGCCACACGCAGCCACAGCAGGGTTCAGGCTTTCAGGATGTGTCATTTTGGGCGGGTGGTCAGGCTGCAGGTGGCTTTGCAGCTCTCTGGGAGCGGTCACCCTGCCCCACCCTGGCTGAGCAGCAGGGTCTTCTCATGGCTCTCTGGATGCTGTGGGCAGGTGGCACTTTTGGGGTTGCTCTGGGCACACTTCCTTCCCGTGATGGAGCCAAGCCGTGAGGGTTTGCGTGTCAGCTGCCTTTCCTCTTTTCATCTCCCCCTTCCCTCACCGGCATGGCGAGGATGCAAGTACTTCTCCTGCTCTCACAGCTCTTCCTCTCCTTCTATAGAAGAGCATGTGTCTTCCTCCCTGCTTTCTCTTCCCTCCTCCCTCTCTCTGGGGATGAAAGGGAATGGGGCTTTTGTTTTAAGGTCAAACTGACCTCTTTTCACCTCAAATAACCCAGCTGCCCAGGCCAAAATAAAAACACTTTTGAAGGCAGACAAGTCTCTTAGTGCCAAGTGGCCAGTCTGGTGCTTGCAAGGGGGTTCTTGCTTTAATTTTTTGTCCCCCTCCCTGTTTCATCTTTTTGAATATTTCAGGTGAGCCTAGGTGCTGGGGATGAAGCATAGGTCCCCCAGTCCAATGTTTTAACCCTTTCAGCATCTGACCAGCCAGTGCTGTAAAGGGCTGAAGAGGTTTGGGCAATGCYTTTACTTGATGAGGGTTTTGGACACCGCATTTCCCCCTCTACCTCCATCAGTTGGCCTTATAACTGATTAATTCTGTCCATGTTCATCTTCCCTCCTAAACCCTCATGGCCACACTGGTGTCACCCCATAGATGCAATAGGGCACAGTTATGTCACATAATCCTGGGTTTATGTCTTAAAACTGGGCCTGGGTTTGTCATGAGCGCCTCACAGCATGTGGTRTGTGACCTGATGGGCACCCTGTACTAAAGCAGCCGGTCACATGGGAAGTAAAGGACTTGGGCAGCTTTGTCCTGTGTGTACCCGAGGGCCCCACTTGCTGAACGAGGGTTGTTGAAGCACCTGACTGATAATATTAGAGAAAAGAAAAACGGTATGAAAATCTATTATTGTTTTTTTGCTGAAGCAGTTATTCAGGAACTTGTGATGCTCTGCACTCTCACTTTGCTAGTGGAGCTGGCTGTGAAATCCAGTGCTGCTTGCACCGATGGAAGGGGCGGCGTGTACGGATGTTGCCCTGGGAGACATGGTGGCTGCCAGATGCTCGGGGCTGAGAAGGCTGGAGCTTCCTCCTCGAGCTGGGGCTGCAGAAGGGTTGCGGCAGCTGTGGGGCACGGTGGACATGGTGGTGCCCACCCTGCATCGTATCCCAGGCCCGCCTGGGCAGGCTAGAGCTGGAACTGAGCGCGCTTTGCTCCGCGCCAGCGGTGCCTCCTCTTTGTGGGTTTTAAGGCTTTCGGCCTGGCCAGCAGCTGCTGTCACTGTGGTGGCTTCCTGCCGACGCAGGGACAGCGGCACAGCCCACGCAGGGATGCTGAGGCTGGCCTGGAGCGAAAAGCGGGGCAGGTCGAGAGGAAGCCTCGGCCCTCAAGTTGCTGTCATGCAGCGCTGGCAGGGAGGGAGAAGGGGCTGCAGGGGGAGAGGCGGCCGATTTCTCTGTAAACAACAGCTCCTGTTTCCTCCTTTCCAACAGCTGATAAGAATTTAGCTCTTTGCAGCCGCTTGTGCTGACGGGGCACATTCTTGCGCACCCGCCGCTCCTCCGAATAATACTAGGAAAAAGCAGGGGGGAAAGTGTGGTGCCGGGGTGGGGGAGGGCCAGGCCGGGGGCACTGGGACGGGGCCCGGTGCTGCACAAAGGCCCCCTTGTTGCTCCCAACATTCCTGCGACAGGGGCACGGGGACTGTTTACACCCAAAGTCCCCTTCCACTCGGCTGACCGCCTGATTGACCGGAGGAGAGGGGACCCAGCCAGGGTGGCACCAGCACCGCGCACCCCTCCCCGCAGCATCTGTTCGGCCCTGGCGAGAGCGGGGAGCCCGGAGCCATGGGGTGTTTATGCGAGGGAAGGGATCCTCCTGTGCCCCATGGCTCTGGCACGGTGGCACAGCTGAGCTGCAGGTACGTGGCTTCTGGGCTCTCCCAGGAACAAGTTTRGCTTTGTGCCGCTTCTGGGACGCCCTGTCAGGAAAATCTGTACCTAGGCAGGAATAACCCCAGGCAGCTGGAGGGTTTCACACCACTGGGTTTGCATCACTGGACTTTGCATCTCCAGGCTCGTCCCCTCGGCAGCGCTGCRGAAGGTTTTGTGAAGCACAGTTTTGGGGAAAAGGGAACCCAGCCATTCATTGAGGGCCGGGAGGAAGCGTGTTTCCTCCGCAGGAAGCGGTCGTTGCTGTGATGGGAAGTGGCTCGTGTGCCCCGGTGGTGCCGCAGCCTGCTGCCCGCACAGTTCTCCCCTGCGGGCGAGGGACTGAACGGCAAAGCCCTCCCTGGGTTTGGCAGTGGCGGTAAAGTGAGATCCCACCCACGGGCAAAAGCCAGGGGATTCAACCTTTAGTCCCTGTGTAAATTGTGTTACGGAACAAACGCTGCTCYCAATCCAGGTCTGCAGCAATATTGCTGCTAGCCAGCAATGTCCTGTTGTCTCCAGGTACTTTCTGTGATTAAATCCCTGTTTGTTTTGTTTGTCTATTCTTTTTCCTGAAGTAACGGAGGATTGTTGTGGTGTTTGGCGAGATCCGTACGGACAATTATGTAATGGGAAATGTGCCCTATCGGAGAGTCGCCGTGGAGCTGGCAGCGGTGCCAGCAAGAGGAACGGCTGGCAGCAGCTCTGTGCAGGACAGGAAGGGCAGCACATCGGGGCTGGGGGCCACACGTGTGCCTGATGGCTGGGCAGGGGCAGCAGGGAGGGAGGAGGATGCCATTCCACCGTGGTGGTCTCTGCTGGGAGCCCACCCTGGCAGTGCCACACTTGGGCATTTGCAAACGCACACTGACATGATTTACCCACACCAGAAATCGCCCTCGATGGCACRGTGGTGAATATGGTCCCGCTTTGCTCGTTGTTTTTTCCTCTCCTCTTCTTTCCAAACAAACACATAACTGCAAGTGGGAAACTTCTGTTTTTGAGAGGAGCTATGTAACCTTTGAAAACCTCAACTTCTCCTCAAACCATGTGTGTCATCACTTGTGCAACCTTCTGTTCAGCGGGAGTGTGAATGTAGCCCTTAGGGGATGTGCTAGCAAGAGGGGGTGACTTGAATTTTTTCTCTTTCCCTTCTAAACGCTCCTTCTGCCCATGTCAGGATGCTTTTGTGGAGCAGCTTAATGCTTCAGCAGCCTGCCATGCTTCGAGCTGGGCACTGATAGGAGCTGAACAGGGGCTGTGTGTAGTRCAGAATGTTGGTGGCAGTGCACCTCTCTCACGGGTCTCACTGGGCTTTGCATGCATGGTRAATACATGCAGCTGGCCCCAAGCTGGTTCCTGTCGGGTGATGTGTTTGTTTGTGTGACCTCTGAGCATGGTGGAAATGCACCAGCATGGATCAGAAGGCTGCTGGTCTATGGGGGCACAAATGATTTTAACAGAGCAACAGCCAGGCACTGTCRTGGTATTTTCCGTGCCTGCATTGCACATCTGGGGCTGCTCCTCACATGTGGGGTTACACTGTGTGCACAGAGAACTGTGCTTTGCACTTTGTGTCGAGGCACATCCAGGGTGGGATACCCTGCAGGGAAAGCCATCAGCTCCCTGCAAACCAGCCTTAAAACCTCACTGAGGCCTTATACTTGAGTGCCTGCTTCATCAGGAGTGCCAGAGGTGGGGATCATGGGTCATGCACAGGGCCAGTGTGGACAGTTGTGTGTGTTCCTGCAGGTCAGCTGGGAGGTGAGGGCTCAGCATGCCACGGTGAGCAGTGTTGGGCATTGTGCTTACACCACTCACTCTCAGTTTGTCCCACGCCCAAAATCTCCTGGCTGGGATGTGGTACCGGATYCTGTTTGCAATCTCCACTGGTGCTGGCCTCTGTTTGCCTCCCTTGGAGCACCTTGTGCTGGGCAGAGGTGCTCGTGGCAATGTGCAGAAACCTGGCTGCAAATCCTACAACCACACAAGGGCATAACATGCTATGTGCAAAAGCATGGAGAACACCCTTTTGTTTTGGGCCAGTTTATATTTTGGAAGTCACAATTCCCAAGCAAATGTGCTTTGCATCCGAAATTCAACTTTACTTCTCTTTTACTTCAAGAGGGGGAAGAAATACGGTAAAACTGATGTAAGCTTTTCCTCTGGAGTGCTTTGGCCATGATTAAGCTATGACAYGAAATGCACTTGGTCATTGCTGCACCAGACATGGACTTTTGCATCCTTCTGCAGGCAGAAATGGGAGAGGAGCCCTTATTAAAAGATTAAGTTTAATAGCTATTCTTGGCGGCTGTAGGAGCCTCTATTCTTTCTGCAGCTGTCTCAGAGCTGTCCCATCTGGTAAAATTTAGCCTCCTTGGTTCGCTTCACCTGCCTGAGTGTTGATCTGGCAGAGAGAGGTTGGCAGCCGCAACGCTGTGCTGCTTCTTTCTAATAAAATTCGCTTGCCAGGATCAACATCGGAGACGGTCGCAGTAATCGGCGCAGCGCTGGCGGTCAGGCTGGGCTTGAGCTTCCTTGCCTCAGCTGCGCCCAAAAAGGCCACCCATGCCAGAGATCCAGGAGGGAGATAAACCCTCATCATTTAAAGTGCCTTTAAACCGCTGCTGGAGGCACGTGTTGGCATCAATAGCGTTTGTCTGGGGAAATCCTAACGTGAGACTTGGCAGGTTTGCGGGCATGTGTCAGCTGGTGTGGGAAAAGCGCTGCTGGTTTTGGAGGATGTGGAACCCACCAATCCCTGCATCCCAGGCGGAGGGATGCCTGCAAGGGGACGGGTGCTGTGGAGTTGGGGACAGGGTCCAGGCTGGGTTGGTGGCTAATGCCAGGGTCTCTGCTGTTGCAGGCAGACCGGTGGGACGAAATAACCGGCGGATCAACCGGGGGATCGTGGAGGAGTGCTGCTTCCGGAGCTGCGACCTGGCTCTGCTGGAAACGTACTGCGCCAAGTCTGTCAAGTCGGAGCGTGACCTCTCCGCCACCTCCCTGGCGGGCCTGCCGGCACTCAGCAAGGTGAGGAGGCTGTGCAGGGACRGTGGCCCTCCTCTGAAAAAAACAGAGAGAGAAAGGATGGGAAGGCCGTGGGTGGAGAGGACAAACCCCAGCTGCAAGGTCTGATGTTTCTGCAGAGCTTTTGAGAGGCAGCCACGACTGGCAAGTCTAGCCAAATAGCCTGCCAAAAGTCAGCTGTTAGTAAGGTGGGGAGCCAGAGTCACAGAGGGTCACCGTGGGCCAGGTCACAGAGTCATGGAGTGGTTTGGGTTGGAAGTGACTTTTAAAGGTCATCTAGTGCAACCGCCCTGCGATAAGCATCAACTGGATCGGGTTGCTCAGCRCCCTGTCCAACCTGTGGCTGCTTCCAGGGATGAGGCAATATTTCCATGGGATGGATGGAGGTCCAAGAAGGGAATCCCCATCTGGAGAATGGGCAGGCTTGAGTGTAGGCTAACACTGCTCTCCCTCTCCTTGCAGGACAGCTTCCAGAAGCCCTCACATGGCAAGTATTCCAAGTACGACGTGTGGCAGAAGAAGAGCTCGCAGCGGCCGCAGCGGGATGCGCCCAACATCCTGCGGGCTCGCCAGTACCGGTGGCAGGCGGAGGGGCTGCAGGCGGCCGAGGAAGCCAAGGCGCTGCACCGTCCCCTCATCTCCCTGCCCAGCCAGAGGCCCCCGGCGGCGCGAGCCTCCCCGGAAACGGCTGGCCCCCAGAAATGAACTCTGACCAGCTGTCTCGATTTTTGATCTCCTGGGGGAGGGCGGGAGGACTGGTGATTCCCGACCCCCAAGCCCCTCCGTCCCCGGGGCTGCTGAGCCGAGGAGCGGGGCGGCGGGGCACCCTCACGCCGCTCCGGCCCCAACCAAACAACTGACACAGCAAGGAGGGGATGGCGGCGGCGGTGGYGAGCGGCACCGCTCCCACGGCATCTTCCTTTTGGGGTGGGGGGGAGGGTTGTTTCGTTTCCCACACCTGTTTCGTTACCCCGCGCCCCCAGTGTTTCCAAACCTGTACTTGCAAAGGGACAGTTTGGCACTTGAACTTTTTGCTGCCGGGTGCTGCGTGACATCCCCGGTGCCAATGCCAGAAGACAAAAGAAAGAGCAAGAGGGAAAAAGGATATGAAGTTAAATTCTTTTTTTAATCTTTTTTTTCTCGAGAAGAGTCCATTCCGTGTCTTTCTTGACAATAAAGAGAAAAAAAAAAACCACAATAGAACGGGGAGAAATACTGAGGGATAAATTTTTTTTGCCTCATTCCCACCCCACTTTTTTCTTCTTTATTGTTTTTTTTTTTCTTTTGGTTTTTCTTATTTTTATAACTTTCTTTTGCACCTTTAAAAGAAAAACGTACCTGAGAAGAAGTTCTGAGGAGCCCCCATCTGCGTTTTTGTGTGTGTGCTTCATTACAAGATTCCAAATCGACTTGCACCTTTTTGAAATCACCGATGACGGGAGAAAGAGAGGAAGGGGAGAGAGAAAGCAAGAGAGMAGGAAAAGGAAAGGGGAAAGAAGAAAAAAAAAGAAAAAAGTGAGCTGATGCTCACTTTAAATGGAGGAGGCGTCTGCATTGCACATTTGCCACGGATTTAGTTGATTTATATATATAATATATTATATAACTTTTTTGGCAAAAAAGCACTATTTTTATGGGACATTTTGTGTAGTATCTGAAGAGGGATTGTAATGTTTAAAATGTGTTATGGTGCTAAAGTAAGTTGGAAGGGAAAAAACCCAGAAATAGCAAGGGAGGGTGGGGAGGGAAGGACAAGATAGCGAATACTGAACTTGAAATTTTAGCTTTTCGTTTTAGGAAAAGTGTGATAAATGTGTTTCTTTTCTCTTCTGAAATATAGCTTGGTCATGACCATATGAGCTAGTTGGCTGTTACTCATGTACACAGATACACGCACACACAGAAATACATCGACACGCATCCTTTTTTTTTTTTTTTTTTAAAAAAAACAAAACAAACAACAAAACCACCGCAACTTAGACTAAAAGGGAACTGTTCTGGAGACAAACTATTTCGAATGGTGAAGGTGTTGCCGGTTAGAACTCAAGGCCCTGCTTCTGCACGAACGCCCTGGCAGAGCTTCGCTTCCCGAGCCACGGGGAATCTCGCTCTTCCCCATCCTTGCTGGAGTGACGACGCTCCAGCGAGCGGGCGGGCGGCCCTCGACACTGAGCCCCTGCAGAAGCAGCAGTTCCACGCCCTGCCATCTCCTTTTCCTTCTCTTGCCCTTTGCGTCCTTCTCGCAGGACCCTGGTGTCCCTGCCCCGCGCCCCCTGCCCTCCTCCGGGGCCGCGCAGGAGGAGCTGCACGGGATGGGGGGGACAGGCAAAGTCTCTGGCCTGAGGCTCAGGACTCGGTGAGCGGATGGGTTTGAGAGGTGGGCACAGGGCTGTAAAATAGGTTGGGTTTAAAATAATATATATTATCTGTCTAGGAACCGTAAAAGGGGGGGGAATCAATTACATCTCCCTAATATACTCTCACTTGCTAATAAAATGGGGACACTCTGTTAACCARTTCTGTACTTGCTTTGTCTTATATATCCATACATTTAAAACATAAAAAAAAAAGACTACTTGAATTGTATTCTGTTTCGTGGTTTGGAGGGGAGGGCTAGGGGGAGTCTTGAGAGGGGGAGGATTTTAATGTATAATCCTTTTGTTTGTTATTACCTTGCAATGTTGAGCCATGAAGCCTTTGTTTAAAAAAAAAAAAAAAAAA